GGCTCAGAGGCGGGGCGCCCGAGCTCGAAAGGGCGGCGGCGTGCGGCCTCTCACCTTGACGATGAGCGGGTTCTGAAACATGGAATCCCGCACGACCCCCAGCCTCTCGTTCTCCATGCCGGGCCGGATGTCGGCCACCGCCAGGGGCCGCCGCGGGGGCGGGCAGATCTGGCTGACCGTGCGGCGCACCGGCGGCTTCTTCCTGCGCGGGGCGTCCTGGCAGGAGCTCTCGGCCTCCGGCATCCTGGCGGTCGCGGGGAGTCGACCCGGGGGCTGGATCCGGCGCCCTCCGCAGCTTGGGGACCCGCGCGGAGCTCGGAGGAGCCCACCGCTCGGACCCTACCACTCGGACCCAGGGGTGGGCACCGGACGCCGGGCTCCCTCCGGAGCGGGGTGCGCCAACCTCTGCAACTCCCTCCCCTCGTTTCAAGGAGACCTAACAGCGCCTACGAGCCCCCTCTGGCTCCTCGGAGCTGCTTCTGGGCGCCGTGCTGCGGTTCGGGGAAGGAGAGGCGGCCGAGACCCCCCTGAAGGAAGAATGGAACGGCCTGTCCCCATGGCGACGGGACGCCAACGGTTCCACGCGGGCTTCGTTTCTTCTAGGAAACTCTTGGCGGCCACCTAAGTGGACGTGTTCAGAGTTTTCTTAAATAGACGTGAGGCAACCCCAAGAATTACCACTTGTGTTAAAAGGCGACAGGGCCCTCGAGGGCCATTTAGTCTCCCAAGTCAAAGATTCACACACACACACACACACACACACACACACACAACCGGCACAGACACACACAGAGACACACACACGGCACAGACACACACACACAGACACACACACACACCCGGCACACACACACACAGACACACAGACACACACGCACACACACACCCGGCACACACACGCACAGACACACACACACCCGGCACAGACACACACACACACACACAGACACACACCCGGCACAGACACACACACACACCCGCACAGAGCGCTAAATGTTTCACGATGAATTAGGAATCCTCACTGGCTGGGCCATCTCACACTACTTGCCCTCCTGGATCCCCGGCATTTTCTCCCGTGAAACAGGGAGGAGAGTCTGGGGTTAAATGAGATCAACGGTGCCCAACTTTGGGCAACAGAAGGAAGGCGAGTTGAAAAGCACAGATTCGCTGAGCCGGAATATCTGGAAATGGGATCCGAGGGAATCTGTATTTTAAAATATCTCCCTCCCTTCCTTTGGATTTTTTTATTTCGAAAAAGTTCAAAGCTGCAGGAAGGTCGAAAGAAGAGTACAATGAAAACCCATGCAGATTTCACCGAGATTCCCCGGCCCTTAGTATTCACCACATTTACTTTCTCAGGGTGGGTCACCCCCCCACACACACACACGTTGAGGAATTATTTTGAAAACACCTGCAGACAGTGTTGTATTTGACCCCAAACACCTCAGCAAGTATCTGCCAGGAACAAGGAGCTTCTCATACGTAACTACAAGGCCATTATCATGACCACGGACTTTTAATCTTTTAATGTGATGCTATAATGGTGCCCGATAGGCAGCCCATAGGCAAAGTTGGGGATCTGCCCATTTCACAAGCTTCCCGGGTGAGCGGAGCAGTGTTTTTGGAACCACTGGCCTGGAAGTTCTCTCGTTCCTTCTAGTGCCAACCTTTTGTGGGTTTCTTCCCCCACCACCATCACCATTGAATGCCCGCACCGTGAGGAGTTCCCCACAGGGCAAGCTGCATGGCCTGAGAACCTGCACTTCNAGAGTTTTCTTAAATAGACGTGAGGCAACCCCAAGAATTACCACTTGTGTTAAAAGGCGACAGGGCCCTCGAGGGCCATTTAGTCTCCCAAGTCAAAGATTCACACACACACACACACACACACACACACACACAACCGGCACAAACACACACAGAGACACACACACGGCACAGACACACACACACAGACACACACACACACCCGGCACACACACACACAGACACACAGACACACACGCACACACACACCCGGCACACACACGCACAGACACACACACACCCGGCACAGACACACACACACACACACAGACACACACCCGGCACAGACACACACACACACCCGCACAGAGCGCTAAATGTTTCACGATGAATTAGGAATCCTCACTGGCTGGGCCATCTCACACTACTTGCCCTCCTGGATCCCCGGCATTTTCTCCCGTGAAACAGGGAGGAGAGTCTGGGGTTAAATGAGATCAACGGTGCCCAACTTTGGGCAACAGAAGGAAGGCGAGTTGAAAAGCACAGATTCGCTGAGCCGGAATATCTGGAAATGGGATCCGAGGGAATCTGTATTTTAAAATATCTCCCTCCCTTCCTTTGGATTTTTTTATTTCGAAAAAGTTCAAAGCTGCAGGAAGGTCGAAAGAAGAGTACAATGAAAACCCATGCAGATTTCACCGAGATTCCCCGGCCCTTAGTATTCACCACATTTACTTTCTCAGGGTGGGTCACCCCCCCACACACACACACGTTGAGGAATTATTTTGAAAACACCTGCAGACAGTGTTGTATTTGACCCCAAACACCTCAGCAAGTATCTGCCAGGAACAAGGAGCTTCTCATACGTAACTACAAGGCCATTATCATGACCACGGACTTTTAATCTTTTAATGTGATGCTATAATGGTGCCCGATAGGCAGCCCATAGGCAAAGTTGGGGATCTGCCCATTTCACAAGCTTCCCGGGTGAGCGGAGCAGTGTTTTTGGAACCACTGGCCTGGAAGTTCTCTCGTTCCTTCTAGTGCCAACCTTTTGTGGGTTTCTTCCCCCACCACCATCACCATTGAATGCCCGCACCGTGAGGAGTTCCCCACAGGGCAAGCTGCATGGCCTGAGAACCTGCACTTCACCTACGTGCCAACAGCGGACAACACCAGCCCCACCTCCAGAGTGGCCCGGACAGACTTCCGCGGCTCACCCAAGGCCCGCAGCAGCCCTTGGTGGTGACATTTGGGGGGGGTGAAGTGTGCCTGTGGTTTCTCCAGCCTGCCTCACTTCCGGACTTTTGCAGAAACGCAGGCTGTGCACTTTTCGATCGAAGCCGCTTGGCAGCTCACACGGAGGAAGTGGGGTGGTGCAGCGAGGGGCAGGAGAGTGGAGGCGCGGAGAAGAGCACAGGTGTGAGTCCTGGGCGGGCCGTAAGTCCCCTTGGACAGGTTACGTGAAGCCCTAGTTTCTCACCCACGAGGTGAGGCCGATGACACCCAGTAAAGACACCTGCAGCCCAGGGTTGTTACAGGATTGAGAAAACAAGGTGCCAATATGGTCATGTTCGCTGTGCAATAAGGCTGGAAACTTGAGCGGTGTATGCGCACTTTTAATCACAGCTAAGTGTCTTCAGGACTCAGCTGAAGGGGGGGGCTGGAATAGGTCTCGGGGGCCCTCTCTGCCTCATCTAAGCTTAGTGTGCAGCAGACCTGCACAGCTGCCCCCGCCTGCCCCTGAGGCCGCATCCTACCCCTCCCCGGCCGCTCGCTGAGCCCAGCCGCCCTGGCGCCCTTCAGCTCCTCGGGAATCAGGTCGGGGCCTGTGGCTTTGCTTCCAGCGCAGGACACTCGTCCATCCAGATGCGGGCTCCTGTAGAACTTGGCTCAAACGTCGCTCCTCGGAGAGCCTTCCGGCATCCACGGAACCGCTCACCGTCGCCAGTCACTGTCCATCACGCCGCTCGGTTTCGTCTTCCGTGTGGGAGAGCCTGCAGTTATCTTGGCTGACTGTGCGCCCGCCTTGCTCAGGGCTGGGCCCTCGCCGTCCTCTCCGCTCCTGGACTGGGGAGGGCGCTGGGCAGGCGCCGTTGAATAAATGGGGTGCGCGCACGAATTAGCCAGACCGCGGGAGAAGTCGGCCCACTCGCTTACTTTTAGGATCCCGCCCACTCCATCCCACCCCAGGAACGAAATGGGCAGAAACCACACGGCTGTCACAGTCCGTGGGAGGGGGCTGTCACCGTGGCAACGGGACGCCGAGGTGGACAGGAAGTGACGCGCGCGACCACTTCCGCTTCCGCCGCGGCATCACTTCCGGGGCGGAAGGCGGGCGGTGGCGCTCGGGACCGTCTGCAGGTAGGAAGCGGTTCTGGTTGCTCCGGGTGTTTCCGACGCTCGTGTGTAAACCGAGCGGCGGGCGGCTGTCGTCCTCCGGGAGACGCGCCCGTGGCCTGGTCTCCGGGCGGGGGCGGCCGCTGCAGGCCGCTCCGCACGGGGCCGAGGCTGGGTCTGCCCGCTGAGGGGGCCG